ATGGCTGAGAAGTAGTAGTGTAACATCGATTCCTCAAACAAATACGCAACCGATTCCCGAATTTGCCTGCAAAAAAGAGATTTTTAATACTTATGGAACATATTTGTTTACGTTATTTCGTTTATTTTATGTAATTTATTTTATTTTCCATATTTTATGTAATTTAGTTTATTTTCGTTATTTTATTTAATCTTTTACTCTAATTCTCTACATTCGCCATACCTGTTTATTGTTCTGCCATAGCTGATTTGAACAAATGAGATCAAGCTCTTACGCAGCCATTTGAAGAGACCACCCATATCGAAAATTTCGCCTAGCAAAGCATACAGCGGCTCTGCTATCGAATCTTTGCTATCCAAATCGGCCAACAGCTTTGAGTCTACAGCCGGATCACCTTCCAAATAAGTGGAAATGTCCTCATCTTCGCGATGTAAGCCCCAAAAGGGATCATTAGCTTTACTCATGTCACCGGCTTTTGCAGCGTCGCTTTTGAATAAGGTGGATAGTGAGAATTTGGATTTTTTCGGCGAAGGCAATGTCTGTTTTAGGTGATCCGAACTGGGACTAAGAAAGCTGTAAATAGCCTCGCTGCCATTCAGGTGATCATCTTCTAGTATGAACTGTTAATTCATAGCAATTTTTTATTCTTGTAAAAACAATTTAATTTTTAAAGTACTTTGTTGTTGCACTTACATTCAAAAATTTCTGTATTTGTCCTTTAGCTTTTTCGAGTGCATTTCGATCATTTTTCAAAAAGAAAAACTTAAAGTTTGTTGGCAAATCGAGTGATTTTATATTTGAGTTTACGTGTCGCAATTTGCGTTGCAGCTCCTACAAAGTGACATAAAAAACAGGTATAATTTTGAATACATAAACCAAAAATAGGGGGTTTCATTCCCAGCCACTTACATGCACTTGATTTAGAGAGCGCATTACCACCCAACCGCTTGATATAGCACCGGGCCGCGCATATAGCCCACCGGGTTTATCTGTACCGCTGCTGTTGTTAGCTGCACGCGGCACATTGATATCCTCGTCCACATGCACCAGTATCATGAATTGTAGTGACTCTTTTTCATCAGAAATCTACTTGTGAAGAATTTTTTATTCACAGGTAAAAGCAAAATATTGAATACTAAAAATTTAATCTAGACACCCACACACCTCTACACTCTGCAGCGTCGCCTTCCACTTGCCTAAATGCTCCGTCCACGCATCGGTGCGCTTGAGATGTGCTTCCGTTTGTCGCTTTTCGTTTTTCAACCACTCCATTTCCTTCTCCAATATCTGCAAAACTTTAGATTCAGGCTTCACCGAACATTTTAACGCATCCAATGCCTGACTCTTCTTATCTATACGCTCCTGTAGCTGTTCGAGCTTACGACGCGCATACGATGTATGCGCCGCTACATCTAATGTTGCATTAGCACCGTCAGCGCCCTCCAACGCTGTGTTTGACTCATCCGAAGAAGCATCGCTGCCATTGATTGTACGTAGCAATAAGGTGGGATCTTTGAAATCATCAGAATTAAGCGCCTCACGCAGTTGCCGATACTGTTCGCTCAGCACAAATGAGGCATAATACTTTTCTTCTAGTGTTTTTAAGATATTCTTCTGTATGTCGTAGAATATATCGGGTCCTGTATCACCCAACAGAAATGTTTCTATAAGTTTGCGTTCATGTTTGTCGATTTGTATCTCCGGCTTTGGCACACGTATGTAAGTGTAAAAGATTTCAGTACCCAACTGATGCCATGAAGATTTGTGCGAATGCTTTAATTCTTCAACAGCTAAATAGAAGCCGACTAGGGCGCTGGCTTTAAGGGGTTCCAAAAAAATGGTCAAGTAACGGCGACCAATAGCGGTGCTCAGAACTTCAATTAGCGTTAAGTCCTAGATAAGCGAAGAAAGTAAAATTTGTTAGTACATTCCTGCCAACAAAATTTGTACGTCAATTTACCGCATCACTGGTATAATTGCCGTTCCAACCATACTTGGCTAAATTCTTTTCGCACTGCCCTTTTGCAAATGTCAGCTGTTGTACATAGCGTTTCAGACGAACTGCGGCATTCATTTCGGATTTTGACAGGCTGTGATCGTCCGTATCTGGATCAAGACCTAAATTAATGTTAATTTTATTGTACAAGTTTCACCCCCCAGCTCAACTCAGCATATCTTATCCACCCACCTTTGGCACGTTGCAAATTCTGCATTGTTGTCGCATGCATCAAGTCATTCACTATGCTCTTACGTATCAGCGACAGCTCTTCCAAATTGCCAGCATTGTTTATGACTTTCAGAAAATCTTCGAAGCTGGCTGCATACTCGTAGCTGCGTTTACTAATGGCAGCTGCTGCCAGACGTGTCTCTATATTTTGCACAATTTTCTGATTAATGTAGTCCGGTGAGGTGAGCATCTTGATCAATGGAAAGAATACTGAAGAACAGGTATGAAATATTAACAAAATTTGCTAGTTCTTTGGTTTTAAGTAATTAAGTATATACAAACTTTTATAAGATAGTATTTCGCTGAGCAGCACTTTAAGCGGTGGTAGTGAGTAGCCACGTGGCAGTAAAAGAATTATCATAATTTCGCTAAGACGACGCAAGAACTTCAATTCAATTTCCTCGTCCACTAGATAAGAATTGGTGGAGAACACGATTGGATTGCCGGTTTCGGCGCTGGTACAGAAGGAAGAAAATTTGTTTTACTTTTAAGTTTCCTTACAGCTAACTTATGATAGATAACAATAATGGAATGAAATAAATGTATTTCCCGAGTTAGTTTCGAAGTAAATGTATTTTTTAAAATTACATTAAATTTTTAAACATTATACTCAGTTCACTTTCCGCAATTCTTATCATAAAAAAAAACATTAAGTGCATTTTAAGAGGTATAATGTCAACAATGTGATTAAACAACTTGTTCTGTGATATCACGACATGATCACAAGATGTTTTCATGCAAACGTTGTAAATAATTTTTTTGTAGTTAAACTTACGCTCTTGCTTCAGCTATTCGAATCTTCTCTAAATGCACTGTTACACGATTCACCATATCAACAGCTATGATCTTAGCTGCATCGATTTTCACACCTCTGTCGTGTAGCTTTTGTATGGCATTCCAAAGGTCCTCACGCACAATATCATTCATCAATTTCGGTTGGGTAACCACATGACTAAAATGATACGTTGATGAGATGGGTTCACGATAAATATTTGAAATTGTGTAAATTGTGTCAGATGAAAGAATAAACAAAAGCGATAAGAATGTTTATATTAGGCAAAATGTAATAAATTTGATCCATCGGTGATTCACCGTAAATTTAAACGTTTACATTACAACATTTGGGGAGATGATTCATAAAAAAAACATGCCAAAAATTAAGGTTTCCCAATATTATTATCAATACCGGTAATTAGTTCTGTACCTACCCCAGCCAATGGGTCATAAAGTCTCGCAGTACATATTCAATTATCTGCTGCAGCTGCAAGTCAACTGTTTTGCCAAAAATAAGTGGTAAATTTGATGCATTCTTAATGGGATTGGGTAGATCGAAAATACTGCTTCTGTAAAAGGAAAGAATTAAATGCAATACCTAGAATAATAAATTCAGTTATGTATATCTTACTTGGTTGCATTGTACAGAATATGTGTTGGTTCACGTTTAGGTGGCGGCGCCTCTGTGCTATTGAAGATGTAGTGCACATACACAGTGCTTGCGACAGCTGAAAATTGAAAAATAATTTAAATACATATGTACATACATACATACCATGATGCATGTATCATGCATGCATACATATGTGCATGTATTTATATAAATAAGATAATTGCGTTAGCAACGCTTAGCTGACGGCGCCCCTCCTTTTTAATTTGCAGCTCTACAATTTAAGTACAAATGTATGTGGCCTACAGGAGGACGTTAATGAACGGTCTCCAACTGATAAGAAAACGAATTTCTTATCAAAATCAATGCAAAAGCAAATAAACATACACATATCGCTTAGGCTAGTGGGGCGTTATATCGCAGCGCTTGTTGCAAACGCAATAAACTCACCTGCCAATAGCAGAAAAAGCGAATAGACGACAAATATGAAGAAGAAGAAAAATGCCGGGTAGTACCAAGCGATGGCCAAGAGCGTCAGAAGTGCAGCGGAAGTGATTACTTTCCAATTGAGTTGCAATAGGCGGATTGCGCGCGTAGCTAGAAGGAATGCACTGCGTGTTGTTAAATTTCCGCTGGTTATTATGTGCCATGATGACGGCGCCGTCAACAGCGTAGTTGTCGCTGAGGGCGCAGGCAGCGGATCGATGGGAAACAACGGCCGATCAAGGGTCATTTTGTGGCAGCCTAGCAGCGAACGTGTTGCGATGTGCCACAGAGGTTAGGTGGTTAGCCGTTTGTCTTGTGCGGTAGTAATCGGTTGTTTTAAAATACTTTACTAATTAATATTTGATAACGGTGATTACACGCAATGTACAAACGACCTTGTTTTATGGCTTGTTGTTGTCAATTGTGCATGACGGCAGGTGCTTTGTCCCACGTTTGTCTTATACATATGTTCGCCAGCAGCTTATCCAACATAGTTTCTTGTATTGCGAGGATTATACATGTTTTTTGTTTGGGCATTGTTTGACCTCTTTTTCTAGCGAACGCTTTTAGATTTAAGAACTTCGTCAGTAATAGTTTGCAAACTGTAAACCCAATAGTGGGCAACAAGTTGAAGTAATTGACATCAGTGTACAGCGAGCGAACGATTTGTGGGCGTCGACGCTGACAGCAGCTGCTGATGACTGTAACAGCCCCACAGCTACAGACTTTTACTTCAGCTTTACATATGCGTGCCTATATATGTAAGAATTTATAGTACATGTTATTTCTACGAAATAAATCTTGGAATATCCTATGGGACCAAGAGTATCCACTTTATTAAACTTTTAGTTTTGCGTATCTTGGCATTTACTTCCGCTTCCGACTACTTATCTTTGCGATTGTTACGTATTGCGCACTAGTCGATTGTTTTTACATTTTGCGTTGCACTTAGATAACAAACTAAGAATGGATGAATCATTTATCAGCAGCCCCAGCTATTCTCACTTGAATTCAACAACTCTTCGGCATAAGCGCACTCCTCTTTTTGTGGAAACTCGCCCGATGACTGTTTCACGGATTTTTGTCACTGCTTCAAATCAGCCAGTCCACTCCAATAGAATTTCTG